GTTAGCCATTCAGCGTAAGTTACCATGGTAATTTAACCCGATAAAATGGGTATAAACTTCATAGAACTGAAAACCTGAAGTTACCCTGATAACTGCAAATCCTGCTTTGTAGTACAGATCCCTGGTTTCAGAACAGTGGAAGCTGAGTCAAAGGCAGATTCCTGTTGTGTTGTGGGAGATGTGATTACCACTTCAACCAATAGTTTCATAAAATTTCACTGATCAGCAGTTGGCATTAATGTGAGACCGATATGCTGTATGCAATCTTTGGTTTTGTACACTGATCTAATATAGCTGCTGTGTAGTGTAATTGAAACCCAGAAGGGCTTCTCTAGAGGCCAACACCAAGTGGACGTCGACACTCCTCATGCATCAGAGCAGAAACTGGCCACTGACTGCTTCCGGCACAAAGATAGAGCCAGGGACTCAGTCACACTCTTGGCTGTATGCTTAAAGCCTAGTAAAGATGTGTGAGGATTTGGCCTCTATATCCTCTTTGACTCTTTGATCATGCAAGTCTCTTGGGGGTGAAAAAAACCTATAGGAAGATGAGCCAGCAGAAGCACTCGAACACGCAACATCATAGCGGTTGATGCTTAATGAGCCTCCCAGACAGCCTTTACTGATCCCTCTGGACATTAGCGTAAGACCGCCCCTGTGGCACCAGAAGCTCTCAGCATCATAAAAATTTGACAAGCATAAGACAGACTTGATGCCAGTTTAAGTCTTGTCAGCTTGCATCAACATCTCCAGGTGACTAAAAAGCCTCCTGCAGATGAAGTGGTCAGTTCTCATTTCAGTGCGATAGAACATGCCGCAATTTATAATCAGTTTTCAAGCTTTTCAGACATGCTTTATGTCCTCTGCAGCTGCAGACTGAAATGCATAGAGACAAGCTCTGAGAGTTCTAGTGAGCCAAATTTAAAATCACTCTGATTCACCCGAGGGGAGATCTGCAATTACAGGTCATGGGGGGCTGCTTCATCGGTGGAGCACAACATGTTTACTGCCACTGTGTTTGCAAAAAGGCTGTGTGGCATTTATTGGTTTTCTTCGGCGGCATCATGCGGAGAAAAATCCAGGCCAGACACAATTAGATCAGAGAAACAGTTTTGTTGTGAAACTGGGAAAGGTGAAGCAGCAAAAGCGAAATTTTGTGGATCATATACTCCATGTAATTTCATTTTTTATGACAGTTGAAGAAGCCAAAAGAAACACTTGTGCGAACAGTGTGACCATACACAAGGCTGAGTAGGTCTTCATGAAAGGGAAGAATAGATGTCATTATAAATGTGGTATTGTAACATTGAGCAGCACAATTCTTTACATGAATGTCATGACTTCTATCTCAGTGAAGGACAATTTGAACATTTTATGAATAGATTATAAAAATGCTCCTGTGTGTTTTTCCTTAGAATCCTGCATATGTATGTGGACTCATATTTAGTGCAGAGCAGAGTTTTGCAGCCTCTCCACAGCAGGCAGTATGTTTGTGGACGTGGTCAGCTGTGTTTATAGCAAACCTGGCTCCCCTGTGGGTTGGACTGGGTTCAAGGAAATGCTATAAAAGCTTGATCTATTCATCTTGGTGAACCTTGCTGCCCGAGCACTGTTTGGGTCTTAAATGGTGCTGGGATATACACTCATGCTGCTTTCCTTTCTGTTCTCCTACAGCATTCATACCTGGCTACCACTACAACATGAATTAAACTTTAGCAGCTTTGCACGCCTGCTTTGGACTGGTGGTGTATTTGTACTGAGTGCAAAAGGTTCTGATGGTAGGAAACCATTTCATTATTTTAGTTAAGTTGACAGTTCCTGTAAAAGAGCAGTTTCTTTGACATCTTTACTCGTGACATTGTGAATTTCCAGTTGAAAGGAGATGAAGTATATAAGATAAATAATTAAGTTAGGTATATATAATATAATATTCAGTGTTGTATGCCAGGAAATGGTTTACTACAGGAAAAGCTATATTATCTTGCTCAACTGATATGCTCAATTTATTGCCTGGTGCTACTTAATCAAGCTAATTACATAATCAATGGGGGAGGGCAGTACCCCAAAATTTAGGTTCAATCCAGTACAATCGGGTGAGTAATACCTTGGCCAGAATCATCAATACTGAAAGTGACACTTTAATTTTTAGAATGAGCTAAAGTACAATCATTTAGGTCAGAGTCTTGTGTAAGGATTTGAGGTGAATACATTATGCACACGCTCCTCTTTTATGCAACATGGAACTTATATTTCACTACATTTCAGAGACAAGTACCTTTTACACATTTTGGCAGCGGGGGTAGAGCAAGAAAGACCCCCAACATTTTTGTCAAATTTGTCAAAACCAATTTTTAACAATATATTAAGACTAATACTTATTTATTTATTATTAGTTTGTTTTTCTTTTTAGCCTTTATTCATATTAAATGATGTTGTGTTTATCATCTGAATACCCATTCAAGCATGTTTGTTAAATTGCTAAATGATACAAATACATAAAATGGAATGGGGAAAAAAACAAAACTACTGTACTGTACAGCTCATTTACCATATTTCTAACTAAGTAGATAAAACTTGTTCCACCACAGCTGGCTGATGCATCAATCAAATAAAACACTAATGTATTAGACATAATTGTTATTTTTCTCTACACTGAGTCCTTTTACTTTCGCTAATTTGAGTAGATTTTGCTGATAAAACCTCTTTACATTATCTAAGTGGATAAAGAATACTTAACTTATACTTGCATTAGAGTATTCCTCTGTGTACCCTATTGACATTAGTACCAATGCTCAAAGTAAGACTTTGGCTGTCTTTTAAGTAACCTATGTATTGATTCACCTTCCCATAATAACTAACCTGTCTAATTTGCAAACATGGATATGACACACAAATTGTAAATTCATTTTAGATACACAAACACACATGATGTTGCAGATTGCATTGGTTTCTTATAACTGTCTGAGAAGTACATTCGTCCTTGAGCAAGAAAGGTAGGATATGACCAAGATCAGTTACCATGATGATGCTCTGAGAAGGTTGGGTTTTTTTAAGCAGTCATCCATCGGTTGGAGAGCAAAACATTTGCAGAACACTACATCACAGTTACCTATGAACATTTATATTTACTACAAGTTGTAAGCACTTTTGTCTATTCTACAGAGACTTAACTTTGACAAAAAGGAAAGCTGTTAATGCAGATTGTACATCTAAAGCTCATAGTGTTCTTTGGAAGCTCAAAGACTGACTGAATAAGGCCATTCTATAAATAAATAAATAAATCTATCATTATACATTTCATTATGGTAACATGAGTTCTTCTTTTTCTCTACAAAAACACACTTTATTTCAAGTGCTACAAGAGTGGGCACACATCAACAAACACCTCTGATAAAGAAGGCTGAAGTTTATTAAAACCCATGCAAGGATAAGTGTAATGATCTTTAAAAAATTAGCCAGGAGGGGACAAAGACTAATTCATTATCTGACTGTCAAATGAGAAATTTCTTTTATCTTGAAGAAAACATGAACAACACCATATAGGCTAGGTCAGAACTGGTGAGGCAAAGGAGACTCTGAACGTTGCACAGAAATAAAATCAGACTCCCCTGAGTTCTTTTAGAATCACATGCCCTCTTCTGTCATTTAACAGTAGCAGAGGTTATTTTTTTAGAAAGGGAAGACCGCAGTGAATCACACTTTGGCCACACAATGAGACAAGTGCAGCAGCAGCTGACCTAAACTACTATCTTGAAAGAACACTTCTAGACAAGCAGATAAAACCTGTGCAGGTAGAATGGTGAAAAGGAACAGGAAGAAAGACACTTTTTGAAAGGCTACAAAGAGATAGAGGAAGTGTATAGAAAGGTGATGGAGAGCAGAGGGGGGGAGATGGGCAGCAGGATAGGCTGGTGCATTGGTGGGGGGTCCATTGCTGCTGAAAGAGCCGACCAACCCAAGAAAACAGTAGGAAATTGGAGAATAAGTAAAAAAAAAAAGAAGCTGTTTCCACATCCATTTTTTTAGTTTTTTCTCTGGTCTGATTGAGTTGATGAAATACAAACCTGCCATGTTTTTCCATTGGTTCAGTTTCTTTTCATGCATGGAAAATCAAAGCAAACTAGAATGAATCACTAAAATGTTAATGTTCACTCTGCTCGATGGTGGTCAGTAGTTTCTGGAACAGGCAACAGATGTATGTTTTGTTGTACGTTTCTGGACTGGGTTATATCTGTGAGAGAAACTATGCAATTTAACACGGTACAACGGCAGAGTTGGCATTTGTTCATAACCTTGGTAATTATTTTGGAAATATACCAGGCAAAACTATAGCACCAGAATACCAAATGTAATTCAAGGACTTGTCCTGAAAATATGATTCTGCATGACACATCGCAAAGAAGAGGTGTTGCCCCTGATGACTCATGAAGCATCGCGTTAGTTCATGCAGGACACGGAGTCATGTGCTCAGCTGTCAGCTACTGATAGGTAACGGGTGCTCGTCAGCCACCCAACAATCACAGCCCAGCGGTCCCTTTAAATACGACCTCATCCTCACTGATCCCTGCTCAGCTACATTGCCACCCACGCCTGCTGCCTGCAACTTGCCTCCACCTTTAGCACTGAGTCCAAACACGGTCGTGGTAAACGATATTCATCCTAAACTAAGGCACATTGCCTGCTACGCCCAACAGGGGGTTCTGCGCATGTTCCATGTTTTATCTTAGCACGCTGCTCGGGTAATCCAGGGAACATCCAAAGAATGGAGCCTTCAGCGCCAATCATAACGGTGTCCCCATTTGCAACAAATGAGTAAATCATGACATAGTGTTCCTGACTGAAAGGAGATTATGGTGAGCATGTAGAATGACATGCGTACAATACACAGTACAGTCACAGCACAGTGACTGTGTGTGAGGTTTGGATATTTAGTTTGAATCCAGCTGGCATGTGCAACACATTGATAAGAGTGTCTTTATATTTCTCTTCATCTTGTACAGGAGGATCTGGAGTCACCCACACATTAGTATCATCTGGATGGAAAGGAAGAGGGGAAGATGCACACTGATGCCCGAGTGGGATCGTTTACAAAGTTCAGAGGACCCTGCCTGTAGAGCTCTGAGTTGCAGTCTGACTTTAGACACGTGATGCTCCATCACCACCAAGTAAGTTGTTGCAACAATAAATGTATTTGTAAACCCCCCCCCTACATCAAAAACAATCTGCAGTGCATGGTATGTTTAACAAATGACAATTCCAAGTTTCTAGTACAATTAATGATACACACAATGACCCTAATGCACCAGCAGACTTCTTCTACTGAAATGGACAAGGTTCGGTCATTCAACAGGGGAGGTAGATGATAATAATAGGTTTGAGGATATAAATGTTAGAAAACATGTTATAGTACACGATGGTCATGTTTTTGCACTCTCTCATCGCTTCATGATTGAGGCTGGGACAACAGACTATTACCAAGATGATCAGACACATTTGGGGGAATAGATGAGCTAATCATCCTGGGTGACTTGGCCTTTCCATTACTCCCCTGGCTTATAAAGCTGTGTCCTGATTACAGACCTGTAACAGCAACACATCTTGATGGAACGAGCGGCTGAGTCAGGCACTGATGATTGCAGAGAGAAGCTTTAGATGCCTCAAAGGGCGATGGAAGTGTCTCCTTGTCAGCCACATAATCTCTGCCTACTTTATTGCATAACTTCTGTAAGATGATGTTTAATTCAATGAGAAAACAGAGAAATAGAAGTTGATTAAGTGGTGAACGGTGGCAAATTTGGGTAGGTGTGAGAAAAGAGAGGTGATGAGTGCTGTGCTTTCTCAAGGACATAGCTCGGTAGTGTAACCGTTACCAAACAAATAGTGCCACACAATTTTATTCTATCTGCTGTTTTGCCTGAAGCCAGCTAGACATTTTAATGCAATAGAAAATTGCATGTAGAGTATGTGCAGCAAAAGTTAAGCCACATATAGATTCTACTGCTGATTTGTGAATACAGAAGATAATTCCTCACAGTCGCAGAAAGTGTATTTCTGATGTCGCTGTGTTTGTCTCTGAGTGGAGCCGAAGTGTCTTGATTACCCCCCGGAGGCTGGCTGCAATGTAGCTTATACATTCCGCCTCCTCCATTATAGTGGATGTGACAAAGAACAAACTGAAAGTCAAAGTACACATCACACACATTTTTCTTTCAGAAGAATCCATCATTTTAAGATTTTGAAAAGTGATGTTTTCAATCAAGCATGTATCACCTTTTCCTTACAACCACTGCATGGTTATTTCTTTTTTGCTGTGTTTGCAGATGCTGGCTCATCATTGATCACACTTTTAGGCTGAAGACCCAACACTGTTGAGTGTCATGTAGTGTAAGATCCAACAAGTATGTTGCCATGTGAGAGCTAGTTTGACAGGGCATAGTTGTAGGCTTTATTCCTTAGGCCGTCATAGGTGATGTGGTTGCTGTGGGACAGCAGAGGCAGACTCCGCTGTAGCTGCATGAATCCAGTGTGGTGATCGTGGTTGATGTTATTGCCCAGGACAAAAAGTAATGCCCACTAGGTGCTTTTTGACGATTCTCAGCATCAGCTACATACATTTCCTTTCTCTTCCTTCTCTGAGTCATATTTATAAAGTATTTCTGATCCTGATTCTGATATGTCTGTAACCCACTCAGCTTGTTTTGCCCGCAATCCCAGCTTGTTCTTGCTTATTCCCTGTGGAGCACTGATGAATATTTTTTCTCCTCATAATTGGATGCATTGTTGAAAGATTGTTCTGCACATAAAAACTGATAACAGCAACATTTATATACCACCTAACCTATGTAAAGGCAGTATTCATGTTTATATTAATTGACTATGCTAAATTTCAACCTGATGTACAACTTGATATTCAGGACAAGATAAGGAAGCACCTCCATGACTTTTCTAAAAAGATAAAGAAGATATAGCCTTCGGAAATCTGCATCTATAAGCCTCTTGATTATCTGCAGTTGCCATAGCTACCTTGCCTGGTTCATATACTGGCCTATGATAAAAATGCATTAACACTTAATTTTGTATTTGCATAATAATAATGGTTGACATTAAGCTTTGTACATCGAATATGCACTCACACCATCTCGAATGTTTATGTACTTATGCCTTTCATCCAAGTGCAATGTTACCTGATCAAATATCTTCCCCTTTTAGCAATTGACACTGAAGTGTTTGTCGGAGCTGACAAAAGTAATCATCGAAGGCAGCTCACGTAGTCCAAGTTAGACCTTTGTTTCTTCTCTGCCTGCTGCAATTACACAGACTGTGATCTTGTGTATTCTGCTGCATCTGAGAATGTAAAGCACACTTAGCTAAAAGCGCCGCTCAACCAGAATTTACAGTGGTAGATGACCATACCACAATTTAACTAATCCACAGTATATTTGGGACCAAATTGAGACCACGTAGGTGTGACTGTTTTGGTTCTCGTCCCAGTGAAACAAGTGAGTTCACACCTTCAACAAGTGAGAAAAGGCAAATTTACTTACTTAATTTAGACCAATTCAAAGTTGATTTAGATTTGTATTTAAGGGATGATGATGTAAAGGCTTGCCTAGGTCTTCCAGTCAGGTTTGCAAAAACATCTTTTTGTGGAAGCTTTCCCATTGAAAAGCATTGTACATTTATCAGGAGGGTTCGACTGCTGCAGAATAGGAAAAACACAAATGTCCTGGAAAGCATAAAGTACTGACACTGCAGTTAAATGCATGGGAACCTGTGCAGACAGCCTGCAGTCTTTCTGGAACATAGTGCTAGTGCTGGCTGCAGGTCAGGGTTGGTTGAAGTTAGTTATCCTCAAAATGAAAGGACACAGTCAATATACAGAGAGATGATGTGAATATGAACATGTATCAGACATATTCTCAGAATTTAACAGGATGCCTTTCTAGCTCTTAGAAATATTAAGGGTTCTGACATGAACATACTAAGGAGAAATTATGTAATTCAAATGAATTGAGATTAATTTATGAGCACTTTTTTTTTTTCATTTTTAAGAAAAGTAGCTTTGTCTGGAGGTAGGCGATGGAGTTTCCATGTTTCATATTGGCTTGTTGAGTCAACTATCACTGGTAGAAGGAAACATTGTTGAACATCCACTGAACCAAGATCAGTTTTATGATGCGCAATCATGTCCGGTCCCGATGGGTCCCATCAGGTTGAGTATTCACAGATAGTCAGCTGAGGGTTAACCTGCAGTCCTGAGTTTCCAGTGATGTGCTGCTCCAGCTCAGATAACTGTGCACCGTCCTTTCCTTTTCCCTTCAGCCTCTCTTCTGTGTTTGATCTCAAATCTGAGATCAAACCATTTTTTTACTTCAATTATGTGACTCTGGTGAATGAGGCCCAGTTTTAAGATTCTGCAATCTTCTTATCTTTGGACTTTGGTTTTGTATACGTTGTTGTTTGGACTTTTTTTGTATTTATAGAATTTGGCCTTGTTATCTTCGATTTAATTGCACTTAAAGTTTTGACAGATCTCAGATGTGGGCATTTCTTTACAGACATGCTAACAGTCCAGGTCACACAGCAAAACGTGAAACTAGTCAGAAGCATTCACAGGCGTAACTGCCAGCACCGACCAATCAGAGCAGCCTTATATACTCCATGCATAAACATTAAAAAAACATTAAAAACCTGACAAAACAAATACTACCATTACATAAAAGTATCAGTTCAATAAATCCTAAATGCCACACAAAGCTAACAAACAAACCCTATGTATTTCACCCACCCCTATACCTTTCCTGCATGGTAGTACCCTCCCAGAACCATAAAAGAGTGCTCGTTTCCCCGGGGACTCTTTTGATTGCGCACCCAGGAAGCTGGAGACAGGGGAGCACAGGTGGGTAAAACATACATAGGAGTGTTTGTTATATTTGTATGCTATTATTCTTAAGAATTACATGCATGGATGTAGTATAGTAGGCTATATCTGACCACAGAACTGTCGGTCTGCACCAATCCCACCACCCGGTGTGTGGAACAGGTACATTACATAACCAACACAATCATTCTGAAAACATCACACATGTTTTTGATGCATTCATTGGTTGTCCTCTTTCTTTTTGTGCAAATTTTGCATTCTGAAACACAGAAACGTAACCGAGACCGAGAGGATCTCCATTACAACGCACTGTGTGTGTGTTTGTATGAATGCATGTGTAAGTTTATGGGTGAATCGCAAAACTGTGCTGTAAACCAACTAGAACAGCACGGTTTAAATTAACATTTAAAGTAATTGCTTATTGCTTTATTTTGCATGTTTGCTAATTTTATCGACACTGCGTTTTACAAGGTTCTGCTGGCTTTAAATGCCTCTTTTATCTGGAAATCCACTATGTATTCACAGCAGAGTTCCGTTTCCTGGAAACATATAATGCATTTATGCAAGAGAGACCCATGTGTCCATTACAACACAAAGCAGAGTGAGACCCACGTCAATAACAAGACCTTTGAACACTATTAGCATAATATGATGCATGGACAGTACCTATAGCTGTGTGTAGTGGAGGGTGACAGCAGCCAGGTATTCTCCATCAGCTCGGGTGGGTGGGGGTCCATCGGGCAGGTCAGCTGTGATGAGCCTGCTTCTGTGGTCCCACACCTGAACCACACAGGTCAGATTATAGTGCCTGTTAAGGCCACAATGAATTTCCTTTCCTGAAACAACAAAAAAGATGTCAACAGGTTTACTGCTATTTACTGTTGAAAGACCTTGCAGCCACATTACCAGAAACTCATGCCTTTGTATGAGGTTTTTATAATTTTCCTGTGTTTTTCAGCAATTATGCACTATTGTATGGCTGCGTGGGAAGGCACTGAAAAAATGCCCATGAACAGAGAAAGACATGTTCAACACATTTATATTTGTGCAGCAAGATTGAGATCACTCACACGGTGACTACCTTCCTTCAACAGCATCTTCTGTCATAGATGTCAAAGACTCCAGGCAACCAGACACTAAGACTGAACAATCTGAAGTCAGACTCAACAAAAAACAACACAACACACAGTATGCCAGTCCTGTAGCTTGCATCCAAAATGTAGCCTCATTGTGGCCCTGGCAACAATTTTTCAGAAAGATGTTTTAGGTCTCGCAAAACAGCAAACAGGTGAATACATTACTTAAACCACATCCAGATAGTCAACTCTGTTTCTCATGAGAAGAGTGGGACAAGGTGTAAGCTCGTCCTCATCACTTCTTGCTCAATCTGTAAATCGGGTCAGTCCGGACCAAGCTCCTTTATTCTGTTTTTCTTGCTGGGGTGTTTTTGTATCGAAATTACTGAATTATCTTTCGCTGTCTCAGTGACGTTGGACGTACCTGAGACGGCGTCGAGGGGTCAACCAACCACAAAAAAAACGGAAATCAATACCTATTGGCTGTAAATACAAGTGGGAGTGTCCAGGCGCAGAATGCTGTGGTGCCCTGCACCCGGAAGTAACTGTTTAGACAGAAATGAACCAAATACAATTTGAAAACAACTTATTGAATGCTCACAGACACTCAAGGTCTACCAGGAGCATTGTATGAGTAAACTACTACTATACAATTAAATTATGTTTAACATTTTAATACAGGCTTTTTTATCGCAGTATGTCGGAGGGGGCGGCACCCCAGTGTCCTGTATTAACCAGCTGTCACTGCTCATAACATTGATGACCTCAGTGCTACGTCCAAGGGGTCCAGCAGCAGTTTTCATAAGTTTTATCCAGTCTTGGAGCAGCATACCCAGCCAATCAGAATCCTTATAATTTATATTTGATATACTATATAATGCTGTATATGCCTGATATATATGCGGGATATGTTTACTGTCAAGATAGAGACCGACCAGCATATCTGAGTTAGCAGTAGTAATGTTCGGGCTGATCAGCGTTAAGTATTTAGCAGATTGTCAATCTGCTTTAGAACTCGTTCTGCCATCTGATGGGAGTTGACTGCCTTACTACAGGAGAGTGAATCTACTCTCCCTCAATTATTCATCTTAATGATGTACAAGCATTACACTGATGTTCTTGCATGCTTCATTTATACATATTCAGAAAGTCTGCTGGAGGCTGCTCTGCTAATGTTGATGTCCAATATAGAGAATATTTTATATCACGCTGCCTTGGTTTGGTGCTTGAGCATGTTCACTTTTGCAGAGTAGCCATGACATGGAGACAAAACCTTTTTACTGAAAAGGTTCATATCATGTTTGTGTCCCATATCTGTAGTTTTTATACAAACACATAATAAACTGTACTTAATCTAATCACTGTTAGAAACTGAAGTACTTTTCTCCACAAGTGACATTTAGAAATCGATTATTATTCTAAACTGATAAATGACCGGAGAATCTTTCACAACCCTCAGAATTCTTACAATTCTTGCAAACAAAACTAAATCAAATGAATTAAGTTACATTTGTATTTACCCTTCTTTCACGGCCAATAAGAAATATAGAGGTACCATATTATTTAGCAGACTGTATACTGATTATTCTGCTTTATTGCTTTTTAAACAACATCTTTCTCCCTGCTAGTCAAATTCTCTATGGCTGCGACAACCTGATTTCTCCACATTTACTAATGAAGGTTTATCTTTTTCATTCTCTTATTTTATGTCTATACAGCTCCCGCTCTATCTTTCTCTCTAGCTCTCTCTCTCTGTGCGTGAGAGAGAGTTTGGAGAGATGCATATTCATCCATGCATTGTGGATTCTGGCAGGCGCAGGGAGAAAAAGAAGATGGAGAGACAGAATTGGGCCAGTGAGTGGCAGAGCTCCCTGCAGCCTCATTCAGAGTGCTGGATGTCTGAGGAGGTACTGGAAGCCCCTGGGCAAATACTGACATCACTGGATCGGCTTCCTCATGTCTGGGAAGACAGCCCTATGTAAATATTACATCCATACCCACACACATGCTCACAAATATGACTGCACTCACACTGTGAAAACTGAGTAAAGCTATTAACTGCTGTGACATGAACTATCACCTTCAGTTACTAATCAGGAAAGGCACATGAGCAGTGTCTGACGAAGCTTTAATAGAGAGGTTCCTGTATCATTCTCCATGGGTCTTATTACCTCCACCAAGGAGGTCATGTCTTCACGAGGCTGCTTGTCTTGTGATTTAGAGGAGGAATGTTGCCTGGGCCTCGAAAGGAAGAAATAATGCATTACATTTTGCCATGGAGGCCAATTAAGTGCCAGATCTGGGATTTACATAATTTTCTTTAGCTATGTTTTATTACAAATGAATAATTTATGTTATCAGAACAATTAATGTTTGTTTTCTTTTATGTTTACTGTATTGTCCAGCAGTGGTCAAGGTATGAACTCTACTCATTGCCATTCTTGTTATATCTGTATTTTTTTTCAGTTTCGCAAGCTTAGTTTTTTATTTCCATTGATCATCACAGAGTCTCCCCATGTTGTTCTGAACCACAGTGATGGCATAGGATTGTAAAAGCATCAAGACCAGCAGGGAAACCTCCTGGGAATGAAATAAGCTTTGTGAAGTTAAACTGCAGCTCCGATTGTTGTTGTGGAGTTCTTTAGTTTGGTCAGCTTTTTGTTAAGAGTTCTATTTTAAGTGATATGAAAAGCTCTGAATAGCAACATAATTCAAATGATAGATAAAAATAGCTATTTCTCTTTATGTATTAGTTCATTGTACTTTTTTTTAATCAACATCCTGTATGACTCAATGTTTCCAGGGATCTGATTAGTCATCTGTTGGCAAGTTTTGATGCAGGTTAGCCATGCATCATGTCACAGTTACCACAGTGATCTATCCTGGTTAAGAGTGAGCCAACTTTCGATACGGGAAAATTAAAGTTAACAGTTAATGGAAAAATAATTCCGTAAACTTTCAATTCCTCCCAATTTAAAGTTGCTATATGCAAGCCAGTGTCCTACCGGGAGTAAAATGGTGGTGATGGTTACTTGCCAAGAGCTTCAGCCAGTCTTGCATTTGCAAGACAAGAATATATAATACCCCCTCTGAGCAGCGCTTCTTCTTTTCCTCACTAGAGGCTACAGTGACTCTTTATCAGAAAGTAGCAAGACAGACCTACCGGACCAGGGCTCGTTAGCATTCTAATTTCGGAAGAAGAATGGAAATAATTTGGATGGGAGCAAAACAAAAGCAAACACTGGCATTGTTTTCCACCTCAGGAGACAGACCTTGGCGAGTAAAGGACTGAAGTAGCCTACGATGCTCAACTCGCATTGTTTCTGATGATCTGTTTGTAAATGCAAATTATGGCTGTGTAGCAACTGAAAATCTAACAAATAGAACATTTTAAAGACCTGTTTCCTGATTAAACTGTGACTCATTACAGTTCACTGTTACAGTCAGTTCTGTAGTTATGAGTGCTTACTTTGAGGTTGACCTCCAAATAATGGGTTTTTTAATATCCGGTTCAACGCCTGTTTTTCTTTTACAACCTGGCTGACCATCTGACTGCTTGGGTTTCCTGACTCAGTAGACGTTGATGCAATGTCAACCTGGTCCCAGATTCTATTCTTTTGAGTGTAATCTTATCTGATAGCTATGGTTCCTGCCGTGGTCACACATTACCATTTGCTATTTTTGATTGGTTGCAGATCTCAAGAGAACAGAGCCCACTTTATATGAGGCTGCCAGAGGGCAGGCGCCAGGGAAGAGTGCAAGCTAGTGGGGATGAGAGGGGCTCCAGCTCCAGATGAATGTGAAGAGCAACTTTTTGTCAAGAGTGTGATGGAAAATAAATGTCAAGAGCTCATCCCTGAAGTATTTGGGTTTAGTTTCTCTCCGTGTCTGTTGGTTAACTTGAACGGATTGAAACAAATGCCAAACTCGGTGAATGGTTATCATGAGAAGAGCACTGCAGGGAACAAGAGGCATGATGGGAGCAACATAGTCATGTTCAGAGGTTTATACAGCCTGCATTTTTTCTTTATCTTGTAGATTGAAACCAAGGCCTCCGTATGTAGTGGTAGCTGAGAGTAGCTAATAGTACAGCTGTATTCTACACAGGATTGTTTTTAGACTGCTTCCTTTGGTACCATGGTTGTGGACACCCAGGGGTGGACAAGCTCGAGCAACCTATGATTTGTTTGGATGTTTGTTTCAGGGAGTGATGAGGTGTTGGTGAACATTTCAATCCTTGGATCCAAAGGGACGAAGACAAAACGACTATTTCAATGTGGAATGCCTGTTTAAAATTTTAATTAACTGTTTAAATTCTAGGGATTATGGCTGGATTACTTTTTTGAGGGGGTTTGATCAACAGGGTGATTCACCTCACCTAGTCTGGTTGCAGAGGGTGGCATTAAGCCAGTCTCCCTCTCCCCATGGCCTCCACAACATTTGGTTACTGCTGTAATTAGATTTTTTTATTAACACCTTTTCATGTCTTTAAATAAACGTATTTTTAGTTTAAACTAATTTGTCCAGTCTTGAGCCGGGTTGTGACAGGCACCCAGTAAATGTGTCTTATGTGTTTACATAGAGATGTAAGACAGCCAACCTGAACCCTCAACTAGCAACTACCTGTATCCCTGGGTAATATGGGTGTAGGTGTGTTTAACCTGTATCGTGTTTATGACTTCTGCTGCATGTCTTAGGCCGCATTCAGACTGAATGCTTGAACAGACACAGGCATCCTACTAAGTTAAATAAGGCCTGTCCCACAGTGCAGTGGGGATGCCAACACAGAGCATGTTCCAGCAAAAAGGTTGAACTTGAATCAACTTTTGCCAGAGAGTAAAATCGTCTGGAAAGCTGCTGTTTTGGCAAATTGGTTACACATACTTAGTCGTTGTTGGTAGATTTCTAAAATAAGCACAGTATTTCTACTGTTTACCTCCTGTTCAGCTCAACTAAAGATAAAACAAATGTGCTGCTGTAAAAACTTCACAGGGATGTAAAATCACGTCAAACTATTTTTAAAATCCTGACTTCCAGGATGGAATGTAGCACCTGCATCTATAAAAACACAGTGGCTAATTCAGCCTGAGCTAATGGACATTATGGTGTTGTTATTAGTGCTTGCAATATATCCCAGTGACTGTTTTTGAGGAAGGTACAGAATACCATTTTGTAGTTTAGGAAATTGCTTAACAACGACACAAATTGAACTATGTATTACCAAAGTCCACAACAATCAAATACGAGGGAAGAAATTAAATTGTTGTGTACTGCCACTCAGATACTATACCTTATACATACATCTTCAATTTTCCAATAGCACTCAACAAAATGTCTGTGGCATGTAGCCTACCCATACTGCACCATCGCTCTTTCTGTATCTGTGGCTGGCTTGTTCAGTCACACATGGCCACATATCTAATTTCACATTACAAGTAACAGCACAGAAAATTCAATTTGTTTTTGTTTCCCTGCCATTTAGTGCAATTTCCATAAAATGAGAGTGGCTGACATCCAAAATCAATGCCTGTTTCCAAACCCCCAAGACTAATGGGGTAGATAGCAAAAACCACAAGTTAATTGCTCAGGAATGTCCTTGAAAATTGTGTGTCAGCCTCTCTCTTTCTCTCTCTCTCTCTCTCTCTCTCTCTCTTGCTCTCTCTCTCTGTGTGTGTGTGTGTCCGTGTGAATGCATGTGTCCTTAACCCTCTATCTGTTTACACTGTTCTCTTGACTGCTTGTTGACGAATAATTTCATGCAGGCTTTGTAATGACATGGATCTGGAATTTTAGTTGTCTTTCTTAACTGAGCCCAAACTGGGACCTGGTTATTCCAGTATACATATTTTCATAGACTTTTCTCCCACAAAACAAAATAAGACAAAGTACTTAATGTGTCTAATCAACAAAAAACCTGATCCACTAGTCACCAATGTCCTGTCTTTCTTGCTCAAGGTTGTGACCCAATGACACTATAGATTGACTGAATATGGTGTCTTTGAAATTGAGAAAGTCAATTTATTTGCCATGTTTGAATTATTTGCTTATTGTTATTTGTGTTGGTTGTGTTAGGATGTTCATGGTGGGTATCACATTCAACACAGGTCCAAAAACAAATCGTGTAGTACACCATCAACCTACTTGAGTTCTCTGAATAATTTATTTCTGTCAGTGACTGAATTTAGGAAGAATTCGATTTGTTTGCTAAACCGTGCTCATGGGGTAACACCTTGATATTCAGCTCAAATGAACAACAAAGATGAGGAATCAGTACTGGAGATGCCTTCAGTGTACAGTATTTAAAGTATTGTTTGGGAGTGTGGTGGTTGCAATCGACACTAGACACATTGCTTTGTGTTAAACTGTGCGGTCTGTGCTGTGAGACGGCCTACATTTGGACTGCTGATGATGTTTAGCAAGAAGGCTTAACCCTAGAAGCTGTAACTCATGTAACTATTAGGCAGAAAATGACAATTAGGCCAAATTTCAACATGCAAAGACACAGATTCCTCCAGTTAGATGTAGGCCACAGTGCTCCTGGGAACCTTCAATGCGTCAGAACATTTAAAGTTTGTGCCACGGCACAATTCTGTCTCTAATCTCCGCAAGCACTACATTCAACCTCATGATTGGTTTTTACTTGAATAAGCATTGCCAGCTCTTCCAAATGATGTCCAATCAACTGGATTGACCACAGGGGGAGTCCAGTCAACCAATCAAATTCAATTTATAAAGCCCATATTCACAAATAATACGTTGTCTCGAAGGGAGTAACGAGATGTGACATTCTCTGACCTTAACCCTCAACAAAAGTAAGGGAGAAAACTACCAACATCCATCAATCAATCAAAAAGCCTTTAGAAACATAAAATAAACCTCAGAGACTAAGGGATTACATGTGTAGCACAGCATTTTAACACAAATACAATATTCACAACATTCATGAGAAAAGATAGAGAGGTGTATCTTCTCAAAAATGGTCTCGAGTAATAGGCACCTGAGCTGAATAAATAAATACATTTTATAATTAGAGTTTGGATATTCATGTCAATAATTCCTCACTCTGTTTGATTTATAAGTAAGGGCTTTTGAGTATAGATTGATGTGGGAAACGTGATTTTAAACACTGCAGCATAACGCTGCGACATAACATGTGATGCTGGTCTGAATACTGCCTGAATGTACATGTGGTGATATGTGTGCTGACAGCTCTTCAATGGATCAACCTCTAGTGCTACAGAGCAGCAGAACTGTGCCAAAAGATGGCTCTTGACTGAGTTTGAGCGTAAAATCTTGAGCTTTCAATAAAAAGCTGATCCTTTCAATATTAAAACTTACATTTCAAACTGTATATTTATATGGTATGTTTCTTATGGCCAAGTGCCAATGTGCCTTTGTTTCTACAGTAAATATAACAAATGAACAACCATGTCATGTTAACATTTAACAAACAATATTTAGCTGCACTTTTTTTTTCCTAGGTGTTTCAGTGAAACACAGATGCAAATCTGTGTGAATATGCCTGGTTAACTGGTCCTTGTTCCAAACTAATAACATTTTTTGTTATATTACAATTGAATATACTAATGTTTTAAACCAGCACAACACAACTACTGCAGACTCTCACTGTACAATACAACTTGTAAAACCCGACAGCTGCCATCGGCTGCAAATGCCCACTACACACTATGTAAAACAATTGGCAATTTGTATGGAGCCTCCACAGTAAGAAGTAAATAATGTAAATAACCCTGAGGTCTTTGCCCAAGGACTTAACATGTTTGGGGGAAGCAGGGGATGGAACCACCAACCTTTTGATCAACAACCAACACTACCTCTTGACCAATGGCCACCTGCAAGATGGACATTTATCGCGTATGCTTAACACTACTATAAAAACACTACACTGCAATACTACACTACAAACAGGTTATCCTCTTGAAAGTGTGTTAGTATGTCCCAAGGTCTTTGCAGCTCGTCTTTGTCATGAATGTGCTTATTCGTATTTTTAGTGGACTACTCACTCTGGGTCTGGATTAAGATGATGCCCTGAGTGAATCTTAATTATTTAGAAGTCTTGTTCATGCAGGATCATCTTGATGTGCTTTAGTGAGTGGCAAAAAATGTGTTTTCTTGCAGATTTATTTGGGTGTGACAATGACAATATGGGATCAAGCTGGATCAGGGGCCTGATTTTTAAAACTGTACAAAGGATGCATATGTGGTTGTGTTTGCACAAATGCCTAAAATGTGCAGTGCATAAAGTAATCAGATTAATAAAACTGTGTGCTTGCATGCCCACATCCAACCATAAATGGTCAGTACAAGGTACATCATTGGCGTTGATGCATGGAAGTGACTCTGCTGAGCGGGGCTTCTTTATATTAGGGTTTCTGTTTGTGCGAGAGCTGTCACTGGCTTTATTTCCAGTTTTTACACAATTCACTTGAGCGGTAGGTGAAGATGTGCTTGGTGAGTTGGCTGTAGAAGGCGGGTGTGTGGTAGCATGGTGTCTCAGTGCCTGACCTCACTTTCACGTTCAATGAGGCATTTTTACCAAAAACTATATAAAGACTAACGATGTACTTGATACAGACGTATTATTCTTTTTATTTAAAACTTTTCTCAATGTTTTGCAGTTCATCGTTATTTGATCATACAGTAATTTGGATTTCTGCATGACCAATGATGATAATTTAGCTGATGTGGAGTTGAAAGACTTTCCTAAAACCTGCCACCTGCAATATCCTGGCATCACCCTCACATTTCATTAGATGCTATGGCACCACAACTTACCATGAGTGTCAGCAGCATACATACCTGTATTCTCCTCTCGGGGGGGTGAGGGATGAGATTGTAGGGCAATGCTGGTGAAATATTGAGCAGAATTTGACTTGGGTCATATCTTTTACGATGGAAATGTGCTTATAGAAGAGTTATGGCTCACTTAAAGCACAAATAACACCGCTGGTTTGAATGTTTATGATCAAACGGATCCTTAAGTAATGGGGTATATCAAGTGAAATTAAATTTGAGTCATTCTGATGCCTCACAGGCGGGCCTCATTTTACAAATAATGATGCCTCTTGTATTTCATTTGTACAATCTAGCTTCAGTTCACCAGCTCATGATCTGTGTGACCGATGTCCATATGTTTGAGTCAGAATTTCCATACAGGTGCACACATTC